AAAAAATGATTGTCACCTATTCTAGACAAAAAAAAGTTCTAACCTGCTTTCACTTCTTAATAAGTCAGTGCTTAAGAAAATAATTCTGTTTCAATGTAAAACATGTACATGCATTGGTTTAGATGACACATATTTTTAAAACAATATTAAAATTTAATAATTACTTTAGGAGCCTCCTCCTGAATATAACCATGAGAACTATAAGGATTTTGGGCACTTGGAGTGGAAATCCTTAATTCTTATATGTTGTGGAACTCAGTTATTCGGTTGATGTGTCTGTCTGTCTACACAAGGAGGTTTGGATATAAGCCGAGAACCTGACTTATTATAACACTGCTCTGTGTATTACCATCCACAGGCATACAGAGAATGTGAGGGTGCAAGGACAACAAGCTTTCCTGCCCTACCTTCCCGCTGCTCAGAACAGCTGCAGGTGGCCCAGTGGGGATAACATTTTAATAGAAGTGGATTAGAAGTTTCCTATTACACAATTTCTGCAGTTAAATTAGATTGTTTTTCAAAACCACTTGATTTAAAAAAAATAACCTCAATACACAATGTATATTCAAAGGATGTTTTGAGAGGAAAAAAATGCATCTGCTTTCATGAGAGAATAACCTTCACATAAAAAGAAATTTTCTCTCTTCTGATCTATGGGTCACTTCCTTAAATACTGGTATTTTCCATATTACATACAAAACTGTTATGAAGTCCATGTTTTATACCGAGCTTCATAATTTATTTGGAGGAAAGAATAACTCTAAAATGTCACAGACCTTAGCATGCTTTTACTGAGACAATCTGTCTTGCACATTATTTTCCTTCCTGTTCAGACATTTAAACATCCAACAGAAAGCTTTTTTCTATTTCTTGAAGTAAAAAAAAAAATTGCAAAAAATGTGCAGGCATATAATTACAGGATATTTCTTTAATATTCATCATCTTGTTAAAAGCAAGACATCTGAGCCTTTGTTCAGAAGAGCAGCATATAAACCAAATGAATGAATGAATAAATGAATGAAGCTAATCTGCTGAAACAGAAATGTTGGCATTATACACTGTTTATTTTTGTTTCTCAGGTTGACTTGTGCAGCAAAAAACTACAGCGAGCAGAACAATTGATTGGAGGCCTTGGGGGTGAGAAAACTCGCTGGAACCAGACTGCTCTGGAGCTGGGGAGGCAGTACATCAATTTGACTGGAGATATACTCATTTCATCAGGAATTGTAGCTTATCTGGGAGCCTTCACATCCAGCTACAGACAAGTAATGAACATAGTTGTTTTATCTATATGGTTTTTGTACAGAAAACAACACTAATCAGTTTTTCTTATTGCCAAATAATTTATCTTTTAAAATATGTTTTAATGTAATGCAACATTTGAAGTGAAAAAACAGCTTTCCCTAGGTACATATTTTTAATCAACACATTCCAGGCTTTTGAGTGTTACAAACATCCCAAAGGGAAGTCTTCCTTTAGATTTATTTGCTATATTCTAACAGTGCTAATTGTGAAATTTATGATCCTTGAGGTTGTTTACTCTTATCTCATCCAGTCTTTGAAATGACAGTAAGTAACTTTGAGCCTTATGGCTCTGACCTGCTCCCATTTTAGCAAATGGCTAAATTCACATTAACCTCAGTGGGAGCAGGATTAGGTCCTCTGTCTACAGCAGGACAGGTCAGCAGATAATGCATAACTATTTTTAAAATGCAATGATTATTTACAGCAAGAAACAGAGATACAGTGGCATGACACTACAGTCATTTTGTAATAAACTACTGTACACAAAATATTTCTTTGGGACTGACTTCAATAGGGGTGACTTCAGTGGAAATGACTTTAATGGGTGTGATTCCTATTGAAGTAAAAAGAAACTTGGGGGGCCAGGAAACTGAAGGATTTGGACCTGAAGCCAAAATTGTCAACTGCCTACTAGTTTTGAATGCACTTCTGTCCTAACTTTTGGAGTTAAGTACCCAAGCTGGAGAAATGAATGGTCAGAACTTCTGGAAATCAGGCTAGTGTGTTACTGAACAAATTGAGTCACCTAAAATCCATAACCACTGTTGAAAATTCAAACCTAAGATTTGGACCTGCATGCTTTTTTGCATTCCATTTTTTGACTTGTACCCTTTGACTATATGTATATATTTTACCTTTTTTTTGTTTAGAAATTCTTTCAATGTTCATCAAATATTCACTGTTTTTTCATAATATCTATATTTTGATATTGCTGTTTTATTGGTTGACCTTGCAAGATTGCGTTTTGCCTGCAATTTTTTTCCTACTCCCAGTTATCTAATTTTGAGAGCATGTAATTCTGTAATTGATAAACATAATCAACTATGAGGCATGGATTGTGAGGGTAGGTCTGAGCATTTCCTTTAATAGCTAGTGACAACACTCTTACATTACTAGTATATTCCTGGAAAGTGATGGAGTGTGTTCTGGATGCCATTCCTGAAGCCATGAGGGACAAAGTTAACTTTACTTTTACATTTAGAAGTGACAGGACATACCTGGTTTCACACAAGAGTTTAGGATAGTCAGTTGAATTGTCCCTAGGTCAAATCTCATTGTCTGAATGGAATGGAAGTGTTTTTTTTTTTCCTTTTTGCAACAGTAGCTGTGGTCTTGTCAGCTATTTTTTATTCTTGTATATTTGCCACGTTGTGATTGTTTATGGTATTGCTGTTTGCTTATCAAGTGAGTGTTTCAGCTTTCCCTGCATCTCCTGGATATTTTCACATTTTCTCATTTTTAGTTTCTCATGTTCTAAAAGGCTAACTTGTATATTTTCTCTAGTTTTTCAAAGAACAAGAGTTAAAATTTGAGGATCTTAATTAGGGTTTAAGTTATTGTGTCCTTCATTTGACATGCATGCCACCTATCCCCGGAATACATTTTCTTTTAACACAGAATTTCTGATTTCTATTGCCTTGAAAAGGGAAATCAATCAGATTTGGGTTTTAAGCTTCACCCTTGCTTTTAAAATGCTAAATACTATCAAAATATATCCTTCTTTGGGAAGTGATGTGATAATTGACTTGTATAGTGGTGCTCAACCTTTTTTAGAAATGAACCAAATCTAATTTGAGCCAAATCTAAACTAAAAAAATGAGCCAAATCTAATCTAAAAATCAGAAATGGGCTGAGGGCTACCTAGGAAAGCATTGCCAGAGTGCTGCATTCTCAGTGAACTCTCTGAGCACAGGCAGAAATGCAGCTCCCCAGTCTAACTCATGTTGCTTCACAGAAAGTGCCATGAGTTAGACCGAGCCTCCCAGCTGTTGGGTCAGGAGGGTGGGGGATCAAGGTCTAATTTGGAGCTGACCCAGAGAAAAAGGCTGAGACTCTGCAGCCTTTTCCTATAGCTCTGCCCCCTGTCTCCTGGCCCCCGGTGTTGTCTCAGAATGGGAAGTGGAGAAAGCAGGGGAGGGAGGTCCATTCTGGGGTTTCTCCAGCCTATGCTGGAGTTGGGGAGGGCTGGACTGGAGTCCCCCCACTTCAGGGAGGCTCCAATCCACCCATCCAGTGCTCCAGTACTGGCTTTGCAACCCCCAGAGTGAGCTCCCTGCTCCTTCTCCCACCTCCCATTCTGAAAACAGTGCTGGGTGCAGGGCTGGGTTGCGTCAGTCCCGCCCAGCTCGTGGCACATGCAGGCCCAAGTTACTGAAGGTGCTCTGTTTTGCACTGCCTTTGTCACAGGATAGGGCCCTTTTAAAGTGCTCTGCCTCCGAGCACTTGTTAGGTAATGGCTGTAGAGCACTTTCAGGGGCCAGATCTAGCAAAAATTGTCACTTCTGTTTGTGTCCTCTGAGCTCACGAGCATGTCAGTGTGGGCTGTGGCTGGAGCCACCACTTCTGCATGGCTTGAGTACAGGGGGTGAACTCTTTCACTGCTTGTTCCCTCTTTTTCCCTGCTGTTGAATTCAAGTGACGGGTCATCAACGCACCTGTGTGTTTGATTAGGATTGTGAAGAATTGGGTGTATGGACTGTGGTTAAATATAAGTTGAAGTTGCAAGGTGGTTTTGTAGGGAAGTGAGAAATCTGACTGTGCATGAGTATTATGATACTCATTATAGATTTAAACCATTTGAATTGGGGTCACTGTGGCTATTATTGTTACCTTAATTGAAAACTTCCGTGATACTGTTATTGATTAAATCAAGAGGACATTCAATTGAATAGCCTTCACTTCAAGTTAATACATTTTCATGTGTAGTAATAAATATGGTACTATAGCTATTGTCAATAATAATTTGAAAAATACAAAGTTTTAGTTGATAAATATGTACTAGTTGAACATGCCTAATTCAGCTGAAAGCTCCTGATTATTAAAAATTCATTAGCTCAGAAACAAAATCTCTTGTATTTAGTCAAGTAGTTTAGTCCCAAAGTGATGTTTGACTAATCACCAAAAATGAAAAAAATCGAACCAAAAATACAGCAAACAAAAAACCCCTACCTGAATAGCAAAATCCTCAAACAGCAGAGTTCCTGTAATATTTTCTTTGTTCGTGTTTGAGAGGATGTGTTTGAAAAAGCTATGACTAGAGTATCCTTCTGCTCTGGAAATCCAAAACAAGCAGCAAGGCTGTTAGAGGAGGAGGGTTTTTTTTTCCCTTACCAAATACACCTTAATTCATGGAGAAGTGTGCTTGTTTAGTATTTAGACTGACACTAGAAAGTTAGATGCTAGGTAAAAAGTCACTGTATTGTAGCAGTGGTTTGCAGGATAAATACAGTATTGATAATTTAATCTTGCAAAGGTACTACAGAGATTCAGCTAATGTTTACTTTCTTTTCTCATGTAGAATCAAACAAATGAATGGGCATTGTTATGTAAAACAAGAGACATCCCCTGCTCAGATGATTTTTCCCTAACAAATACTTTGGGAGAACCTGTGAAAATCAGAGCTTGGAATATTGCAGGATTACCATCTGACACCTTTTCTATAGATAATGGTATCATTACCTCGTAAGTAAAAAATGGTTTGTACATGCATAGTCTTCATTAAATAGCTTCTTACAGCACACTGTTCAGTTATTTCTTTTATGAACACATTTTCTTACTGTAGAGCAAGTTCCAAAATACAAATTGTCAAATAAAAACAAGGCTATTATTTTTACTTTTACTATACACTTTGTTCAAGGTTCCTAGTAACTAAAGTAATTCACTTCACACTTTAAATTCCCATGAGCTATTCAATGACACTGGAAATTTTGATACTGGGAAGCATAACAACATTCTGCAAGCAAATGATAATTTTACTTGTAAGTGACTAAGCTGATTCAAATAGAGGAAATTTTGGATCCTAGAGCAAACTTGTAGTAGTTTAACAATAGGAGTGGCCTCTTCGGGTCTGTGAAGAGAAACATTTGCTCTGCAGCACAGCTTTTCTCTTCTTTCCTTATGGTGTTAACATCCCCTTTTTACATGGAATTTAGAGGCAGTCTAGGATTTTTGAAGGCTTTATCCTTGCCTACAGCTTAAGGTATCAGACGTGTGCTTTCAAAGCTGCATATATGTGCATGCATACACAAAAAACATACTTCAGCAGCTGAATACATGCATTAAGATGATAAATTTGGTATAATATATTAATTAATCTTGCAGTAAATGTATATCTTATTCTCTATGTAAATATATAAGTTTCTATTTGTGATTTAAATTTTGTTTGGTTGTTGATTGTGATGGAATAGAATGAGAAGAAAAGATATTAACTAAAAGAAAATCATCAGGTGATACATTTTGTCATCTGAAGCATGGCTTCTCATTGATCACTAATGGAAAATGACAATAAGTGAATAAAGTAAGGGGAAAGAAAAAGCAGAGTTTTAAATGTTATAGTATACTAATAGGTAAGAATGGAAATATTCCTTCCCCATAAAAAGCCAAAGCTGTGTAATTTAAAGAACTACTTTGGAACCAAGCCAATAACACCTTTCTTCCAAATGATACCTCTGCAGAAGAAATGAAGCTTACTTTGCAGATCTTCCAAATAGGAGGCACTAACACTTGTTTCCCATAACGTATTTTGGAACTGTGTAGCTGAACCCTAGATTCCTTCTTAGTAAATAGTTTTCTGGTCTCTAGTATTTGGACCAGGAGTACAAGTGTTGTGTGTTGTCCACGAGATTTATCTTGACATGATTAGGAATGTCTATTTATGTCATTCCTCTCTAAAGGGATGCTAAAGATTAGAATAAATGCTTGAAGGATGATTTCATAGAATCATAGAATCAATGAGTCGGAAGGGACGTAGACAGATCATCTAGTTCGACGCCCTGCAATGGGCAGGAAGGAGCACTGGTGGTGGCAGGAGTCATAAGACCCCAGCCAGGTGCCTATCCAGTCTCCTCTTGAAGATCTCCAGGGAAGGTGAGAGCACCACCTCTCTGGGAAGCCTATTTCAGGCTCTGGCCACCCTTACAGTGAAGCAGTTCTTCCTAATATCTAACCTAAACCTATCCTCCCTCAGCTTGTGGCCATTGTTCCTGGTGACTCCAAGGGGGGCCCTGGTGAACAGACTTTCCCCGAGTCCCTGCTGGTGACCCCTGATAAGGTTGTAGGCAGCCACAAGATCCCCCCTCAGTCTCCTTTTGTGAAGACTGAAGAGATTCAGGTCCCTCAGCCTTTCCTCATAGGGCTGGCCACGGAGGCCCTCAACCATATGAGTGGCCTCCTCTGGACCCTCTCCCGGTTCTCCACGTCCCTCCTGAAGTGCGGCGCCCAGAACTGGACACAGTACTCCAGCTGCGGCCTGACCAGTGCCGCATAGAGGGGGAGCAAGGCCTCTCTGGACCTGTTAGTGATGCTCCTGTTGATGTATGACAGGGTGTGGTTGGCTCTGCCTATTGCTTTGTCTCATTGGCGACTCATATTCATCCTGGAGTCAATCCTGACTCCAAGATCCCTCTCTGCCTCTGTGCTGCTGAGAGAGTCAGCCCCTACCTATAACCATAATGCTGGTTCCCTCTCCCCAGGTGCAGCACCCTGCACTTGTCCTTGTTGAACTGCATCCCAGTAAATAATTGTGGAAATTGCAAAACTAGTCTTCAGGAGCTTCAATTGCATCCGATTGTTTTTTTCTAAGTATTATCTTTCTGCAGATAACATTGTATCTGTAACTACTGGTAACATGTCCCTTTTTAATTCTATGCAGTTACTTTCTAGTGTTTGTTCCTTTCTGCTGACACTATATGGTACATGTTCACAGGGCACTACCATGTTTCTGAGAAAATGTTAACTAAAATCAGAGTTTTGCCTAGGGCAGCTCTTTTTTATGTTGCAGTACATGTAAGTAATTATTTTAGCTGAAATTTGAATAGAGATATCAGCACATTTGCATTACTAGGTTTTCCCTGAAAGCTTAAGAGCAAAGAAAATATCAGAATGGTATATGGTTAAGATGTCATTAAAATGCCTGTGTTAATAATAAACAATATAGCAGTGTCGTTGACCTCAATTATGTAAATGCTGTGATTTGAGAAAGAATGCGAGATATTCCAAAAGTCAATGCTTTTGAAGTGAATCTATTCACTCTGAGGCTGAATAAGAATGTATTATTTTTATGTCCAAGTAGGTGGAGTTCAGACATTTTTTTACAGTAAACGTTTCCTTTCCCATTCAGTTATTAGCTGTTGTTATTAGTACTATTACTATTATTAGCAGAGGTGTAGCAGGGCAGCTCTGTGTTCTGGGTGGTGACAATGCATGGGCAAATGCTAACTGCCTCAGTGCCAATGCTGTTGACACAGCCAGCTGCCACTGTGGCAGCAGCTATTTTTGTACCCCCTCCCAAACATGGCATGCCTGGCTACTGCCCTGCTCAGGCCCCCATTAGTTATGCTACTGATTATTAGTACTTAACTCAATTTTTTATAGTCTTATTTTGGTCAGGGTGCAAAGGAAAATGAAACAAAGAGAAAATAGGATAGATTTTAAAGTTTTAAAACATTATTCATATCTGACTTTTGTGATGGGAGACAGCAGTTCCCCCTCTCAAATAGCTGGGATCAATGCAGTGCTGATATAGAACTCAGTCTACCTCTGAGTTGTTTCTTTTGTTCTTGCTATCCTGTGCTTTTAGAGTCTTGATTTTTTTTCATCTGAGAATTACAATAGTTGTACTTCAAATGTGTCACTATCCTGAGATGCCAAAATACTTAGGCTAAGTTCTATAGGAAATATTGCAAATGTTGCTAGTTTAAAGAAAAATTCAAAAGTTTTTCAGTGTGACCACTTTAAGACAAAAAGATGCTGCCATTCACAGTGCATCTACACGAGACGCTACTGGATAGTTGTTACTGTGCATTTATTTAGTACTTGTATAAACAAGTACTAAATGAATGCGCAATAACCTGAGTTACTGTGCAGTAGTGCTGACGAATGCCTTTTTTGTGATGCTACTGCACAGTAGCCTAATACTACTGCGCAGTAGCATTGCATCACAATTTTTGCCATGCAACACTACTGTGCAGTAGTATCAGACTACTTACTGTACAGTCAGCATCTCATGTAGATGCGGTCACTTCATATGAATTTGCTTGACTATCTCTGTTTTTGTTGCCCTACTTGTAAAATCTTTCTTTCACTGGAAAATGCAGTTAATATCATGAATATATTAAGAATTCCTTAAATACAAGAAAAAGCCTTAAAGATTTTTAAAGATGTGTAAAATAATCATATAATATTATGTTGTATGTGGTAAATTTTTATTTCAAGTACTCTCCCTGAAAGATTTGATCACTTTTGTGAACAAAGGGCCTGAAGACACATACATGGCTTCTCATAAAGTTTTGTAGAACCACGTATCAGTGTGTCCCTTAGTATTTTAGAAAGCAGATGATTGTATCTAAATGACATGAAGTAAACTGCATTAAAGCCATATATGAGGTGAATGCTTAGAAAACTACATAATTGACTTCCGAAAATCAATCTATACCAATTTTTTCCTCCAGTAATGCAAGAAGGTGGCCTCTGATGATAGATCCTCAGGGCCAAGCAAACAAATGGATAAAAAATATGGAAAAGGCCAATAGTTTGCACATTATCAAACTCAGTGACCCTGAATTTGTGAGAACCTTGGAAAACTGCATTCAGTTTGGAACTCCTGGTAAGTGATTGAATAAAGAAAGTGTAGACTACTGAAAAACCAAGCAAGGGCACAATTAACAAAAAAATTATAGGAAAGGTAAAAATACCAAATATTGATATATTTGTAGGAAAAATGTTATTTATTGATAGTGAATCTAATTAACCATATTAGAACTTTAGTGATGTATTTACTCAAATATAAGACAACCCCCCCCACCCTCAAACAGCATGGGGAAAAAAAACCCTTGTCTTACATTCACATACAAAATGGAGTGGGGAACTGATAGCTGCTGTGGCTCCGACACTGTCCCTGAGCCCACGGTGGGGCTGGGGTCAGACCCACAGTAGCCTCCTGCCCCAGCCAGTCAGCAGTGCTGACACTACTGTATTACCTGCCCAGCCAGTCAGTAGTGATGACAGACTGGGTGGAGTGGGAGAGGGCCAGAGGCATAGGCGATGGAAGCGGGGGGCTAACAGGGCTTAGCCCCCCCAAATGTGGGGCAGCAGTAGGGCCACAAGGAAGCCTGGACAAGGGCTTCCAGTGGCTGCAGCAGGTGTGGAGCAGGGGGAGGGGCAGAGGCCAACCAGCTGGCAGCACGGGACTGAGCCCCGAGTGGCTTGTCTGGGGAGTGTGGCTCCTGCTGCTATATGCTCCCCGGGAGGTATGGGGGGTGCCTGCCCCTGATCTGTGTGGGGCAGGGTGGGTTGCTACTGAGGGCCAGGGCCGGGACTGTGCTGGGCTCTTCCCAGTGGGTGGAGGGGGAGCTGTGCTACACTGGGAGTGGGTGGTGGTGGTGGTGGTGGTAATGAGAGAGAGGCTAAGAGGGGGCACCTGCAGCCACCCCAAGATTTACTGTAGCCCACCCAACCCCTGTCCCAGTGCCACTGTCATCCACCCCAGTGTAGCATGGCCGTCCTGCCAGGGAGAGCCTGGCCCTGCCCCAGCTCCAGCCCGCAGTGGCTGCTTGCCCTGCCCCGTGCAGATCGGGGGCATGCAAACCAATGCCATCTGGGATGTGGACAGAAGAGGGAGCTGCCACCCCTTTCTTGTGCCCCCCAGTCGAGCTATGGCTCCGTCCTGTGCCCCACCCTGCCCTGGCTGTGCAGGGCCTGGTGGAGTAGGTATGGGGGCTCCACCCCTCTGGTTCAGCAGTGCAGCTAAGTCTGGTTCTGCTCCAGTCCTCTGCTTTGGGACCCCCAGATGGTGGGGGGCTGGGGCCGGTGTGGGCTGGCACTGGGCAGTGCAGGTGGCAGGGGGTGCAGGACAGCTGCAGGGGGAAGAAGTGGGGGAGACAGAAGTCAAGGGGGCTACTTGAGCCCCCCAGACACCTGACCTCCCCAGTGGCTACTTTCCCTGATATAGTGGGGTGGGGGGAGAGGGAGGATTTAAGACAACCCTCTGATGCTTAGATTCTGTACCTGGAAAATTATTACAAATTTTGTATTTCATGTATTGCAAAGGTAATAACTTGTTCACGTAAGTAAAAGGAGGGATGTGAAGTAATGTATCTTGTTAAGACAGCATAAAACATGTTGTTATTGTTGTGTTCAAGTGCTGCTGGAAAATATTGGAGAAGAATTGGATCCTATCCTAGAACCGCTTCTACTCAAGCAGACATTTAAGCAGTCTGGTAGTATATGCATTCGTCTTGGTGATTCCACCATTGAATATGCTCCTGACTTCCGCTTTTATATTACAACCAAATTGAGAAATCCACATTATCTTCCTGAAACATCTGTTAAGGTGAAAGTCTTGAAAAATACTGTGCCATTTTATTCTGCTCAATTTTAATTAACAACGCTGTCCCCGTTGGGTACAGGTTGAGAAGAATACTTAGTATCTGATTTTTCATCTACTACTATTACTTTTCTTCTTGTTCTTCTTGAAATTTCTTGAAAGTACTGTCATAATCTACAGGTGCTGATATTTTGTCAATTCTAATATTACTGTTCACAATGCTATCATTCATATTTTGAGAAATTTAATTTAGTCATGTAAATTTTGAATGTTAATATCTTTCCCAACCTTCTACCTTCTCATTCCTTCTGACACTTTTACTTAGTCACCTTTAAGCAAAGAAACATTTAATGGGAGTGAATATAGGAGCCCTGTGCACATACTAATTAGTTTTCTACAATCTTCTAGAGATTTGCTTCCATAGTAAAAGCCCTGAACAGGACCTCAAGCAATGCTAGACTTCATGCCTTAGGTTCATATAATAACAAACAAGTGTTCCTAGATTTTTTATAATTTGATAATTTTTTTTTTTATCTATACACAAACTTTGTGAATCATCAACTTATAATAAGTTAAATAAGTTCCTGTTGGAAGCTGGAGAACACAAGTGTATATAACTTGACTAAAAAATGTGGATATTGGAGCACAAAATCCTGAAAACTAAATAAACAGTCTACCTGTAAAGTAATTTGAAAATCAGCAGAAAGAAACCGTAAGTTACTTTCCAGCTGTTCTTTGATACAGAAAAATATTTAGAGAAAGATCTTTTATCAAGAATGACAGCAGGGGGGAACTGAGTACCACCACCCACCACCCTGTGCTGCTGCCACCCTCCAGGAGTGGGTGGGGGGTGGTAGGAAACTTGCCCCGCCATCCCCTCTGTCCCCCTCCTCTAGCACCCCGCACTGCTGCCTCTAAATGGTGGCTTCACATGCCCCTGGCCCTGGTTTTTGGAGTTTGCGGTGGCATGGGGTGGTAGTGGTGGTGGCTCTGGCCTTGCCCCACCCCACTCCATCCTACCATCATGGCGGCACTTCGCCATGTGTGTTTCTGTCTGTGTGGGGCACTCTGATTGGTTGTTTCAGTAAGCATTGTGATTGGCTGCCAAGACAACCAATCAGAGTGCTCCAAGAACATTATGGACAAGAACACAGACACACAAACAGATGGACTAAGAAGCCCTTTATATATAAACACATACTACTAATACTATTTTAAATTATCACTAATATTTATAAAAGAAAATAAAAAATAATCTCCTAGGCTACAATTGTAGATAGAAACTAAACTAATATTTTGTTCCTTAAGAAAAACAAAGTTAACTCATTTGCATGTTATTTAATAGAAAATAAATGTCTGTTAGGTTACCAATTAATATAAGCCATTCCGTCTCCCTTTGTACGTATAGGCACAAAAATGTCATAAGTTAATAGCTACTTATTCCAGTTGTCCCTTTTATCTCTTACTTTGTATGATACTTAAAATAATATGTTGAAATGCCATCTAAATGTATTAAACTGTTTCTGTATTTCAGACAGAATTCTGTTAATGTGACCTTCCAAGTGTTAAAGTTACTTTTCCTCACTTTAAGATTGCTTGATACTATTCTTCCTTATTGGTATTCTTTCCCTTTAAAAGTGCAGTACAGAATACTGAATGCGATAGGTTCGTTACTGTTATACTGTAGTTAATTTACATTGTAAGAATATTTTCTTTAGTTTTCTTATTTTCCCCTCTTTCTTTCTTCTATGTTCCACAGCCTTCATATGGGGTATTCTCTGTTTCTCTGGCAGTTGGAGGCAGATGAGCTTTTTATCCTAGGAAAAGCTCTCTGCAGTTCTGTTCCTCTAAGGTATATGCACAATTGACTGCAGGTCTGGCTTTGTAGCAGAGCTTTTCACATAGATTTTGAAGGAAGTTTAACTAACTTTTTCTATTTTTCATTGGTTTTGAGGTCTTGTTCCTCAAATCTGATCTCAGGTATCTCAAAGAGTCCCTAATAGGACCACTGTTCCAAAAGGATAAAGGAAAATCTAGTAGTGTAAGCAGGGTATCAGCCCTGGGTGATGACTATGAGGGGGCACCAGAACCACACCTTGGAGTTTTTGACACAGCAGAGGACTAATAAGAACCATGTACTCCCCATGTGCTCACAAGGACCATGGTCATATCTCCTTGCCTGTTTGAACTCCTCTGATCCTATTTGTAAAACAAGCTAGGAGGGACCTATGGGCCAATTCCAAGCTTTTTGATCATACAGGTAAAACATTTTGTTTTAATTTTTCCCTAATTATTGCGTATTTGAATAAAATGTATTTAACAGGTAACATTGCTGAACTTCATGATCACCCCAGAAGGATTGCAGGATCAACTACTTGGAATTGTGGTAGCAAGAGAAAGACCTGATCTGGAAGAAGAAAAGCAAGCTCTCATCTTGCAAGGAGCTGAGAATAAAAGGTATTAAAATAACTTCATTAGCTGGGGGCTGAAGTAGATTGCAGTTGAAGAGAATATTAATTATTCTCTCTCTGTATATTAGGATAGTATAAATTATTCCCCTAATATAAGTCAGGACACACATTTTGAAATCCTTTCTTGTGTACTTGTGGTTGTGTGTTGTACAACAAATTTAACAAGAGAAATCAAGATTTGTAGGCCTGAAGGATGAACAGGTGAGTGCCCACTTGTTTTGTTCCTTATGCACAGAAGTCTGAATATTTAGAATGATTATTATATCAGAATGAAATCTTTTCATCCAATAGGAAGAAAGATGTCCTGTTTCCTTTTTATCAAGAGTCTGGTTCTAGAAAAGAAGTAGATGTGGTCTTTTGCATGTATAGAGCCCAAAATCAGGCATCTAACAAGTTGTAGGTTTGATTTGGAGGGTACCAGTTGTGGGTTTTTTTTTTCCAGAGGCAGGAAAAACAGTGTGAAATATAAGGGGATTGTGTTGTGAACATCAGTAGCATAACTGGGGAGGGTGAGTGGGGCACCCACACCAAACACCAACTTAGAAGGGGTACTAGAGTACCCTCCCAAGAGTCTTTGCTACAGCAGGTGCAGCCCAACCATAGACCAGGCAGCCTTGTGCCCAGTAATGTATGCAAGGGGAGTGGACTGGCACCCCCTGGGATCTTTGCTGTGGGAAGTGCAGGTATATGCAGTAGGATATATGTGGGGGTGGGGAACAAACAAGGTATTAGAGGCAGTCCCCAGGGAGCCCGTGTAACAGGGCTGTTGCAACTGCCTTTCAACCCTTCCCCCAATAAATTACTGAGTGCAGCATTGCCCAGCTTCTGTGTCTGGGCTATGCCTACCATAGAAAAGGTTCCTGGGGTGCGTCCACACATGCAAGCATGTGCACTTGCAGCAGCTCAAATAGAAGCAGTGCAAATTTGAACTGGGGCTTTTTGCCTCAGTGCATGTGCTTAGATATGCACTTTGTGGTGGAGCAAATTATGCCACTTGGGGCAAAAAAACCCTGCCTGGCTGCTCCCAGGTCTTCAGCCTGGGGGAGCTATTGCTAAGGGCCACCACCTCTGCTGTTTCCAGCAGTATAAAAAACTACCCTGTCCTCGCCCCGGCAGTATAAAAAGCTGCCTTGGCAAGTAGCTCAGGGCTACTGGCTCTCAGGAGCTTCTGGGGCCCAGCCAATTGGTACCTGGGGACACTACCCCTTGTGCCAGCTGGACTGCTGAAGCAGTCCCTGTACCCTCTACCCACTGCAGCAGTCTGGCAGTGGCGTCTGCTGCCCGGCTGTGACCTGCTGTACACCTGCCGGACTCGGATGGGGACTCGGATGGGCCAGCTGCCGGTGGACTGTGATTGTAGGGTTGGCCTTTGTGTGGCACTATTGTCATTTGTCCCACCTGCCTGGCCGTCTGACCAGCTATTACCCGGAAGATGTCCCGGGTGTG